CCCGGGCCTGGCGCGGGCACGCGCTGGGCGTATGGGGGCAGGGGCCACACATGCACCCGGGGCTGGCACCTGCGGCACGCCTGGGGGCGGGGCCAGCCCAGATTGCTCCGCGGGCACACGTAAAGGGCCTGGCTGGCGCCATGGCGCCCGCGGGCACCGTGTTGGGGACCACTGGTCTATCGTCACAGAATGGAAGGGGCACAACAGGACTTGGGATGGAGTTAGCTGACTGCTTTTGGGAGTGGTGCAGGGCCAGGGCAGGGGTGAGCCTGCCTTAGCCCCACTGCACCACCGTCCAGGAGCCACTTGAGATAAGTAGTGTCCAGCTGGAGCCAGCTCCGAACCTTTGCTCCAGTCATGAACCCCCTTCTACACCCCAAGCCTCTGCCCTAGCCCTGAGCCCCCTGGACTCAAACTCCCTTACAGAGCCTGTGCCCTGAACCTCCTCCTGCACCCCAATTCCCTGCCCCAGGCTCAGCTCAGAGTGCCTCTCACACTCCAAATCCCTTAGCCCAAGACCAGAGCCAGTGCCCTCTGCCCCTGCCTGGTGGAAGGGGGGGAGGATGGGGGAGGATGAAGTGAACAGAGGCAGGGCCTTGGAAGAGAGGCATGAAGGAGATGGAGCAAGGATATTTAGGTTTATGGTAGATCCTGGATTGTATTTGAATTCAAAAAGTGATTTTGTGCTTAAAAATTTGGAGTGCACTGCCCTAGGTTCTCCATGAGCTGGAACAATATCATGGGGTCATATAGGTGATGTCTACCCTGCAGTTATTTCAGAATAAGCTATACCGAAATAGTTATTCCAAAATAACTTATTTTGAAATAGCATGTCTACACTACAGGGAAGCCTCAAAATTAGTCTAAGGCAGGTTTCCTTAATGTGGATGTGCTCTTGATTTAGAGTCCCAGGATGAATAAATTAGAATGGCCCTGGTAAGAGGCTATTTCGAAATAGCAGAAGTGGAGCATCTACACACGCCTTATTTCGCAATAGCTATTTTGGAATAGGCGTTATCCTTCATAGAATGAGGTTTACAGAAGTCAGAATAAGCCGAGCGTTATTTCAAAATTATTTAAATGTAACAGAATTGCTGTGTAGACACACAGTTATTTTGGAATAACAGCCATTATTCCGAAATAACTTTGCTGTGTAGATACAGCCGTAGAGTGCATGTACGCTGCAAAGGCAGCCCACGACAGCAAATCTCAGACCCTATTTCAACAGATTCTGGCTCCTTGACTCACAATACAGTGATAAAAATAACAGTTTTTATCAGTGGAGGGCATCCTGCGGCCCACTGGGATTCCACCTGCAGACCGCATACAACCTGTTTCCCTTCCTCCCCCAAGCACCTCTCTTGCACTGGGAAACTAGTCCTGCACTTCCTACTCCGCCCCCTCCTTCCCAGCACTTTTGGAGCACCATGAATGGCTGATTCACGCTCTGTCCCCCACTTCTCCCTCCCTCCTAGAACTTGAACAGCCATGAATCAGCTTTTCGGGGCTGTTAAAGCTCTGGGAAGGAGGGGGAAGAGAGAGGACAGAGCACAAATCAGTGGATTTATGTCCCTCCGAAAGTGCTGTGAGGAAGGGGAAGAGTAGGAGGTGCAGGGCTCCAATGTGTAAGAGGCATGTGGGGGAGGGGAGCAGAGAAGGGGTCCGCTGGCCACAGGTTGAACCCCAGTGGACTTTAGGTTGACTATTTGTGGACCACTGAAATAAAGGAGAACCACTCATGTGGCCCACTCACTGGACTTGGTTTCCCATCACTAGTTTTGACACTGAAGCTCAGACTAAAGGGCCTGGGAAGTGAATGGGGGAAGGAGAGGAATTCGGAGCCTAAGCTTCAGCATAAACTGCCATGTTATTAACGGTTCATAATCATGCTAGAAGGGCAGAACAAGTGGGGTTCCATAGGGGTCTATTTTGGAACCAGTTCTGTTCAATATCTTCATCAATGATTTAGATGATGGCATAGGGAATACGATTATTAAGTATGCAGATACCACCAAGCTGGGAGGGGTTGCAAGTGCTATGGAGAATAGGGTCATAATTCAAAATGATCTGGACAAACTAGAGAAATGGTCTGAGGTAAGTAGGATGAAGTTTAATAAGGACAAATGCAAAGTACTCCACTTAGGAAGGAACAATCTGTTTCACACATACAGAATGGGAAGTGATTGGCATTTTTAAGTATCTAAAAGGGTATCACAAGGAGGAGAGAGAAAAATTGTTCTCCTTGGCCTCTGATGATAGGACAAGAAGCAATGGGCTTAAATTGCAGCAAGGGAGGTTTAGGTTGGACTTTAGGGAAAACTTCCTAACTGTCAGGGTGGTTAAAAACTGAAATAAATTGCCTAGAGCGGTTTTAGAATCTCTATCACTAGAGGTATTTAAGAGCAGGTTGGATAGACATCTATCAGGGATGATCTAGATGGTATTTGGTTCTTCCGTGAGGGCAGGGGACTGGACTTGATGGGCTCTCAAGGTCCCTTCTAGTTCTAGTATTCTATGATTCTATGTCTACACAGCTGTTTTTAGCGCTGTAGCATGAGCCCCACAAGCTAGAGTCTGTAGACCCTGGATTCCAGGACTCATTACCATAGGTTGTTGTTTGCTGTGTAAGAGTACGTCTACACAGCAGGGCTAAAGTTGGAATAAGCAACACAACTTGAGCTACATAAATTGTGTAGCTTAAGTCTAAATAGCTTAATTTGGCTTTTGGTGCTGTCTACACAGCAGGAAGTCAAAGGAAAAAAATCTTCCTTTGCTGTCCCTTACTCGTAAAATGAGGGTTACATGAGGATAAGAAGTCCTTCAGCTTGCCATTATTTCAAAAGAATGGCCTGCAGTGTAGACATGCTGTTATTTCAGAAAAACGTCAGTTACCGTATTTTAATGAATATATCCCGCACCCAAATATAACCCGCACCCGAATATACCCCGCGGTTTTTGCTGTTTCAGTAAAAAATATCTTGTATACCACGCAATTGATTATAACCTGTGGGGTATACAAGACTGTGCCAGGGTATATTTAGGGTGCGGTGGTATATTTACGGTGCGGAGGGTTAGGCTCCCAGCCCGCGACTGAACAACGTGGGGAAATTTACAAGGGGTGCAGGGAACGCTCCGGAGCCAGGAATGCTCCGGAGCCGGGGCAGAGGCATCCCCCCTCCCAACTTCCTGCTCCAGGCCAACACCCAAACCCTCTGTATCCCTCTCTTTACCTCCTCCAGGTCTCAACTCCCTCTCAGACCCTGCACTCCCTCCTACACCCCTCCAGCACCCATACCCCCTCCTGGACCTTGAACCCCAACTCCTTGTCCCCGATCATAACCTCCTCCTTCACCCAAACCCCTTTTCTAACCCCATGCCTTTGCCTGCACTCCAGTCCTCTATCCCAAGCTCCCTTCTACATCCCACCTGCCATCACAGATCCCACACTTTCTCCATAGAAGTGCAGCTCTTGCCCATTTACCAAAATCTTGGACTGGCTTCCCATTAAAAAGTATTGCCCATCCCTGGTTTAAGGTAACTAAGGGTATGTCTACACTACCCCCCTAGTTCGAACTAGGTACTTCCTTAACTCTCTTAGGTGGCTCAACATATACAAATGTCTTCCCTGTTTGCAAAACATATTGAAAAAAATTAGGGTATGTCTACACTAGTTCGAACTAGGGGGGTAATGTATGCATACCGAACTTGCTAATGAAGCCCGGGATTTGAATTTCCCGGGCTTCATTAGCATAAAGCAGGCGCCGCCATTTTTAAAAGCCGGCTAGTGCGAACCCCGTGCCGCGCGGCTACACGCGGCACGGACTAGATAGTGGAACGAGGCGTACAGATAGTTCGGATTAGGAAGCCTAATCCGAACTATCTAGTCCGTGCCGCGTGTAGCCGCGCGGCACGGGGTTCGCACTAGCCGGCTTTTAAAAATGGCGGCGCCTGCTTTATGCTAATGAAGCCCGGGAAATTCAAATCCCGGGCTTCATTAGCAAGTTCGGTATGCATACATTACCCCCCTAGTTCGAACTAGTGTAGACATACCCTAATTTTTTTCAATATGTTTTGCAAACAGGGAAGACATTTGTATATGTTGAGCCACCTAAGAGAGTTAAGGAAGTACTTGAAGAAGAGCTCTATTTTCGGAGAGATGGATGCCAAATTAAACATCCAGCTTCAGGTAATCTCTATAGTCAGCAAATAAAAAGTGTTTGTTTGGGAAATGGTACCTAAAATGTCAATGAGAGAGCATGCTGTTCATTAAAGCAAAACCGTGATATTGATTATCATCCTTATCTGAATGTACAGAACTTGGAGAAATCCATTCTTTCTTCCATCATCCTAAAACTGGAACATACAGGACACATAGAAGTCCATGCAATTCAGCAGTTTGACATTACAGCAACATAAAACCTGGATAAAACGTGGTTCAGTAACCTGATATTTGTCAATTTACTTAAGGCATATTCCTATGTTGCCTTCTTGACACCATTGCTTAAAGAAAAAAGCTCCTTTCCTTTATTTCTTAAACAAGAGTTCAGTATATTTCGAATGCCATATTTTATTAAATTGCAGCCACTCAGACAATGGATTTAGAAGTTTGTCTGATTTGCTTGTGGTCATGCAAGAAGTTCACACTACTTTTGAATTCCCATTTGAAGTGTAAGCGTGAGGGGCAGAAAAGTGTTTTAAAATATGACACCTACGCCAGGTTTACACTATATGAGAAATTAGATTTAAGATACACAACTGCAACTATGAGAATAGTACCTCAAATCAAATTTCTCCAGTGGCTCTTCTGTGGGAGGTTGACAGAAGAAACTCTTCCATTGACTTCCCTTATTCCTCACTACCCCATGTACCGGCGTCAATGGGGGCGCCATCAATATTTGATTTAATGTGTCTTAATTGAACTAAATTGAACCCCGGAAGATCAGTCTCCAGAGTGTCAATCTCCACGTAAGTATAGACAAGGCCCTAGGCTTCAACAGGCAAAGAGACCTCTGCTACCCAGTCAGCTCTGCAACTTGCCACTTAGGATATGAATGTTACTTTTAATGTATTTGTTTCCAGGACATATCAGTCTTCCCATTGAGTAAATCAGACTGCTACAGAACCAGGGTCTGCAGCAACTTTTTAGGGCTTGCATGGGCCAAAGGGTACTTTTTGGAAAAGGTTCAGACTGAGTTTAAATAAATCCCAAAATATACCTTGAGCATTATTTTCTTCAATTAATAGGTTTCAGCCTATGCTACATTTTCAAATATATTATTTTCAATTACCACACAAGATACTAAGTGTACTGTGCTTATTTGATATTATTAATTTACTACAAATATTTGCACTATAAAAGGTTAAAAGAAATATTTTAAAATTCATGTCATATAAGTACTATAGTAGCCTGGGCTCATCGGTTAACCTTCACGGTTACATGCAGCCCCATCCCCCCACCATGCTGCTGCTTCTGATACAGAGACAGTGGGGACGGGGTGTGGACAGATGGCTCTGTGGCAGCCTCCTCCCTCATGTAAATGTATCACCACTGAAATTTTCAGCAGTGACACGTTTACCTCAATAAATACATTTTAACATCCCTAGTATGTTCCCAATATACTGTAATTCCATGGATCCCAAGTATGCTAGGGATTGCCTTCCCAAACCACCCAGCCTGGCCCCGCCCACACTCCATCCCCAAAATATCTACTGTAGGCATTCTGAGGGCAGAGTGTTGCTGCCCCCACTGCCCATCCTCCTGTGCTCTGGGCTAGGGAGGCTTGGACCATGCACTCTCCTCCCTCCCTATGCTCTGGGGTGTGGAGGCTGGGGCGTACTTGGGGGCTACGTCTACACTGGCCCCTTTTCCGAAAGGGGCATGCTAATTTTAAATTTCGGAATAGGGAAATCCGCGGGGGATTTAAATATCCCCCGCGGGATTTAAATAAAGATGTCCACCGCTTTTTTCCGGCTTGGGGAAAAGCCGGAAAAAAGCGTCTAGACTGGCCCGATCCTCCGGAATAAAGCCCTTTTCCGAAGGATCTCTTATTTCTACTTCAAAGTAGGAATAAGAGATCCTCCGGAAAAGGGCTTTATTCCGGAGGATCGGGCCAGTCTAGACGCTTTTTTCCGGCTTTTCCCCAAGCCGGAAAAAAGCGGCGGACATCTTTATTTAAATCCCGCGGGGGATATTTAAATCCCCCACGGATTTCCCTATTCCGAAATTTAAAATTAGCATGCCCCTTTCGGAAAAGGGGCCAGTGTAGACGTAGCCGGGGTGTCCACCCTCCTCTACTCTCTGTGGTAGTGAGGGGTGGGAAGGTGGCTTGGCTCTTGTGGTGGTGGTACCTCAGTAGAAGGAGCTGTGCTGGGAGTTACCTTCACCAACTGACCATGGTAAATTCTTTTTCTGTGAATAAAAAACATACTCTCTCCACATTCTTTCTAGTATGTGTTTCTGACTCCTACCAAGTCATTTTTATGCAACATTTCAATGGTCTGTGGGCAAAGAGGATAAGACTACTAACGTGTGGAGTCAAGGCCCAATCGTGAATTCCTTGCATACATACCCAATGTTCCTGGTGAAGGGCAATGTACCAGATTGGGAATAAGAAAGGAGAGTGTTTGGCAGATCCCACTGAAATATTCTTGGAACGTTTTGTTAGCTGATGGCTTTTCATTATAAATGAAAAAAATCTCCATTAACTACACTGAATGGCATCTCAGCATATTTCTGTTTGCTTGTTTAATTATTGTTTAACCTTTGTATTACAGTTATTTGATGCCTATGTATTCCTACAGCTAAGCCCAGCAGATCTGAGTGGTAGCTGATGTGAAGGACTATTGGTAAATTAAGCTTAAACAATTCCTTTTTGCAATCTGTTCTCTCAGGCGGTTGTATCTTGCTCAATGAGCAATTACAGATTTGGCCACACTTCCAATGAATGCAAGAGCAGTTTCTAATATAATGAATGAATCTGCACCTACAGGACTTTGAGTTACCACATAATAAATATGAATCTCTTTATTGTTCTACATTTTTCCTTGATCCTTTTCAATGCCTCATTTAATCTGCCTTGTGTAGATTAATAAGATTCTGAATGTTTTCATTTGACTATGAGCACTGTTATCTAGCAACCTCAGGATGTTGTCTAGTCTAACCCCATGCTCTAGCAACTGTGAAATGTTACAGCCAGATCACAATTAGAATAAAATCATTGATGTTTGAGATGGAAAAGCCATGTAGGTCATTCAGCTCATCTTCCTGCAAGTGCAAGATACTCCCTACAGTACATTTATTCGAGTATTTGCAGTATTTGTACAATGATTAAAACTAGTGTGTTATTTTGGGAGTGACTATTATTTTTGAAATTATTTGACAATTCTACCATACATATTTAGTTAATCCAGGAAATATGCTTTTACAGCATATCTACCAGGTCTGTCCATCCATTCTGTAAATGAATCCATGTATCAAGTACACATGACATGTTCCCTTCCCTTGGGTAAATGGTTGTTTGAGTGAACGAGATACCCGACTGATTCTCACAGGCAGGAGCTAGTAAAATGCATTCAAATCTGCACAAGACCATTAGAGGATCTGCTCCAGGAAAGTACTGAGCACACCCAACTACCATTGACTTCACTGTGGATTGAGGATGCACAGCATAGCGCAGGACTGGGCCCTTTCCTTTCACTAGGCTTATACACTTTGTGATAGACCCAGTCTGCTGTTCACCAGTGGAGGGAATATATGGAAGAGCTTGTACTTCCCTGAGTAAAAAAAGGCCACAGCCTAAGTCCAGTATAATCAGGCAGGCACCTGGGATCAATTGTAACTTGCTGCTTGACGAGCCACTGCAGGATCTCCTCCATCTCTGAGCTGCCAACCACATTGCTGGCTCTGGATCTCACACTTAGCACCAGTTGTAGCAAAGCTCCAACTATTTCCTGTAGGTCTCACACTCCTGGCGGATAGCTGAAACAAAAGACACGACTATGCAGCACTTTAAAGACTGACAAGATGGTTTATTAGGTGATGAGCTTTCGTGGGCCAGACCCACTTCCTCACATCAAATAGTGGGAGAAAATTGGCACAACCATATATACCAAAGGGATACAATAAAAAAAGTGAACATTTGGTATATATGGTCATGCCAATTTTTTTCCACAATTTGATCTGAGGAAGTGGGTCTGGCCCACGAAAGCTCATCACCTAATAAACCATCTTGTCAGTCTTTAAAGTGCTGCATAGTCCTGTCTTTTGTTTCAGCAAGACCAGACTAACACGGCCACATCTCTATTACTGGTAGATAGCGTTAGACCCAGGGGCTTTGTGGGATATATACTGTAGCAAAGCTCTCACACTACTGGGGAAGATAGTGTTAGCCTAAGAGGCTCACTGAAGCCTCCAGGCACCATTTTTCTCTTTACTCAAGGTAGGAGCCACAGCCTACTGATGCATACTCATCACAGGCTAGTTCATAAGTTTGGGGTAAACTCCCCTCTGGAGTCCTGATCTCCCTTCTCAAGGCAGAGGTTGAGATGTTGTGGGGAGGTTGAGGGGAACCTGGGCCCACCCACTACTTCAGGTTCTGGCCCAGGGACCCTAAGGTAACAGCAATAGGCATGGTTACTGCCACTCACAATCTGAGAGCTTTTCCCTGGGCCACTTCCCCAAATAATCCCTCCCAGTGCCTTTCCTTTGGTACCTGCTCATCAGTCCTCTGCTCACACTTACACAGCACTTTCTCCTTTCTGTCTTTCAATCTTTTCCTTCCCCCTTCCTAGCCTGGGGAGCCCTTTTAAAATGGTATCACAGGCCTTAATTGGCTGCCGGTGTTTAATTATCCTGTGGCTCCTAGGAAGTTCCAGTTGACCCCAAGAGCCTGCCTGATAATAGTGGATTTAAGCTTTGGCCTTATTTTTACTCAGGGAAGAGAAAGCTGTTTACCCAGCTCCAGCACATCTTGCCTTCATCAGTGAACAGCAGATGGCTAGCCTGGATCTGTCACAACTTATAATTGCAATAGGGTATGTCTACACTTGCACCCTACTACAAAGTAGGGATGCAAATGTTGTCATTCGAAATAGTCAATGAAGCGGGGATTTAAATATCCTGAGCTTCATTAGCATGATCTCGCTGGCACGTTACTCTGATCAACAGCTGTTTCAAAAGAGAAAGTGTGCGCCAGGAAGCATTAGTTCGAACCAAACCCCTTGGTTCGAACTAACGTTACTCCTCATTTTTTGAGAGTAAAAATGAGGAGTAATGTTAGTTCGAACTAAGGGATTTGGTTCGAACTAATGCATCCCGGCACGCACTTTCACTTTTGAAACAGCTGTTGATCGGAGTAATGTGCCGGCAAGATCATGCTAATGAAGCGCGGGATATTTAAATCCCCGCTTCATTGACTATTTCGAATGACAACATTTGCATCCCTACTTTGTAGTAGTCCTGCTCCTCATGCAAAAGGGTTTTTGTTTTTCATCATTACAAGTTGATTTTCAGTATGGTCACAATACAGTACTAGGGTAAAATCAGTCTGAATTCCTATTAATAAAACTTTTTCTACAGGAGTTGTTCCTTTTCCAAAAATCTCTCCAAGCTTAAGGAGAGTCGAATTTTCTGTTATTTTAAAATATACTCGCACCAGAGTTAATGTCTGTCTAAAAATCTTGTTCCTGTCTGCACACTCTCATCCTGATATTTCCTGCAGAAGTTCTTGATTGTTTAGGGGACTGGATGGGCAACCATCTTGGATACAAAGCCTGTATCCTTAGATGGGAGGAGATATAGAAAGGCACTTTTTCTATTGTAATATAAATCATCAGCACACTTGGGATTGAAAGTGTCCCTTGATAGAGAGACAAGGTGTGTATGGTAATATCATATATTGAACCAGCTTCTGGTGGTGAGGTCTGCTCTGCATCACAGACATATGTTGGCATAACCGTATTACTCAGGGGTATGAAAAATCTTAGGTTGACTTAATTTTGTCATGTAGATTTTTCCTAACGCCAAGTCTACACTACAGGTCACTGTAATCCACACCCTGAATGTGGTTGTTATACTGACCTTCACTACCCGTGTGGACCAGCACTCTGTCGATGGGAGAGCTTCTTAGGGAGGTGAATTAACTATGCTGATGGGAGTGCTCTGTCCTGTTGGCATAGGAGCATCTTCACTTGAGCGCTATAGTGATGCAGCTACATTAGTGCAGCTATGCCAATGTAGTGTTTTCAGTGTAGACTTGCCCTATTAGTTTCTCAGACCTGAAGAAGACCTCTGTGTATCTCAAAAACTTGTCTTTCTCACCAAAAGTTGCTCCAATAAAAGATATTATATCACCCACTTTGTGTCTCAGCCAAAAAGGAAGGCAATGGAGAATAAACCATTCTCTCCTTAAAAGTAGTCTCTCCCGGTCAGGCTTCAGACACTCTGGAAAAGCAGCATGGGGAAGGTCACACACTTCTGTGGATACATTGAGGAATTCATTCTCCAGGGCTCTTATTTTGGTAACTTTCGGCAGCACTAAATTCATGCAAAACTTAAAAAAATATTTTTTGAAGTCAAAGTAATAATTTGCTGCCTGCAACGAAGGTATCAACCACCTACCACTCTCCTTCACCATTGTCTCATACTCTTCTGTTCTGTATTTCATGAGCTAATTAGTCCATTGGGACATGGAAACTGTTGTTTGTTGAGCACAGAGCTGACTTAATTAGCTAAGGATTCCTGGCCTTCATGCTGGCACAGAGTATGCAGTTTGAGAGCTAATACATCTGATCAATCCTCAATTGCTGTAATAGCCTTTGTGGGGCTATTATTAGCTGGTGAAGCTGCATTGGCTTCAAGTGGACAGCCCTGAGGATCTGACTCGTTTGATGGGTGCACTAGAAATATGCTGATAGTCTGATTCTATAGCACTTTAACCTGCTTCCCTGATGTTCCTTATATTAACTTCCTTTGTTACAGTCTTGTCCATGTTGAATATCCAGCAATAACTTTTTCATTGCAGAGTGTATAAAAATGGCTGCCTTCCTCACACTATATAATAATGACAGGCTGCGTGTCCAGAGACTAAGAATGGCAAAACAAGAAATCAAATAGGTGAAAGTTTATGACAGTTTTGTATGCAAGTGATTTTTGCTTGTGCAAATGAAGGCAGGTTAATGGCTATTTCACCATATGTCTCAATGTATCTAATATTACTAAGAACTTGAAATAGGCATGTACCACGTCAGTGCATTTAAAATGAAAAGTTGGATTAGATCAATTAGGTCCTTTATTCTGACAGTGGCAGATGCCAAATGCTTCTGGGGGAGTGGATAGAACAGGACATTTGATCAAATCAGAGATTTAGGGCTATCCAGAGCATAGGGTTATGCCCAGAGGGACTGGAACTAGAGGTGCTGGGGTCGCTGCTCTACCCCTTGGCTTGAAATAGTAATAACAAATACCAAATGCATGATTTCCATCAGCAGCACCCCAATAAAAATTGTTCCAGCACCCCTGTTTATGTCCCTGGCCATCCTGGAAAATAGCTGTTGATGAACTCATAAATGTGATCATGTGAATGCGTAATGCTATCTGTGTTCTCATCATTGCTGGAATTACCACAATGACAGATACATTATGAATGCTTAAATTAGATTAGGTTAGATAAAAAATAATCACCTCAAAATGTATCTGTTCTGGAGTTTACTGCTGCAAGGAATAAGCTTGATTGGCTGACTTTGTGAAAGCATTCCTGGAAGTACTCCCTGGATTTGTTTGGACATTTTTATCAATATTTTCTGAGGACACTTGATGTTCTGACTTTTACCCATGTCTACTCGATGTATAAACCAAAAACTTTTATTCTCTAAGGGTGTGTCTAGACTACATGCCTCCGTCGAAGGAGGCATGTAGTCTAGACACACCCTAAGGGTATGTCTTCACTACCACCCTTGTTCGAACTAGGGTGGTTAATGTAGGCAACTGAAGTTGCAAATGAAGCCCGGGAAATTCAAATCCCGGGCTTCATTTGCAACTTCGGTTGCCTACATTAACCACCCTAGTTCGAACTAGGGTGGTTAATGTAGGCAACTGAAGTTGCAAATGAAGCCCGGGAAATTCAAATCCCGGGCTTCATTTGCAACTTCGGTTGCCTACATTAACCACCCTAGTTCGAACTAGGGTGGTTAATGTAGGCAACTGAAGTTGCAAATGAAGCCCGGGAAATTCAAATCCCGGGCTTCATTTGCAACTTCGGTTGCCTACATTAACCACCCTAGTTCGAACTAGGGTGGTTAATGTAGGCAACTGAAGTTGCAAATGAAGCCCGGGAAATTCAAATCCCGGGCTTCATTTGCAACTTCGGTTGCCTACATTAACCACCCTAGTTCGAACTAGGGTGGTTAATGTAGGCAACTGAAGTTGCAAATGAAGCCCGGGAAATTCAAATCCCGGGCTTCATTTGCAACTTCGGTTGCCTACATTAACCACCCTAGTTCGAACTAGGGTGGTTAATGTAGGCAACTGAAGTTGCAAATGAAGCCCGGGAAATTCAAATCCCGGGCTTCATTTGCAACTTCGGTTGCCTACATTAACCACCCTAGTTCGAACTAGGGTGGTTAATGTAGGCAACTGAAGTTGCAAATGAAGCCCGGGAAATTCAAATCCCGGGCTTCATTTGCAACTTCGGTTGCCTACATTAACCACCCTAGTTCGAACTAGGGTGGTAGTGTAGACATACCCTAAGGGCATGGCTACACTTGCACCCTAGTTCGAATTAGGGATGCAAACGTAGGCATCGAAATAGTCAGTGAAGTGGGGATTTAAATATCCTGCGTTTCATTAGCATGCTCTCGTCGGCGCGTTACTCCAATCAACAGCTGTTTTGAAAGTGAAAGTGCATGCCGGGACGCATTAGTTAGAACCAAACCCCTTGGTTCAAACTAACGTTACTCCTCAAAAAATGACGTTACTCCTCAGAATAAAGCCTTTTCCGAAAGATCCCTTATTCCTGATTTTAAGAGGAATAAGGGATCTTTTGGAAAAGGCTTTATTTTCCGAAAGATCCTGTCTAGTCTGGTGCTTTTCTCCGGCAAAGCCCCAAGCCAGAAAAAAGCGGCAGCCATGTTTATACAAATGAAGCAGGGGATATTTAAATCCCCCACTTCATTTGCAATTCCGACTTGTCTCATCTGCATCCCTTTTCTGGAAAAGGAGAGCAGTGTAGACACAGCCTAGGTGTTAGTTCACTGACTCACTAAACTATGGATAGGATTGAAGGCAGCAGTATAAAGTATAAATAATTCGTCACATTAACTGTTAATCCAAAATGTTTGAAAAATAAAGTACAAGTAAGTTAATTGTGTGCAGTATCTTTTGTGTAGAGCTAGTCTGTTTCTAGTAAATTACATTGTTTCTGTTTATTACATTGACATGTGGTTGTTTTAAAAGTCATTTATATTAATTCTTTTACAGCAGCCGAAGTGAAAAGCAAAACAAACCATGCTAGAATAATTAGTTTTAATGGGGTTATTTTAATACATTATTAACAGTGGCCCTGGAAGGAATTTGGAGTGTGAAAAGAAATTTCTCCATAGGAGGCCTGAAGCCAGCATCACAGAACAGAAACAGTCTGCTTTCACAGCCCAAGTACTATTCCAGGCACGGAGGAATAAGAAGTAAGAGTCAGTAATCTGTATAATATACTACAAATCCATTGAACAGATAGCAACTGTACCTTGTTTATTTACGTAGATACCTATATAGTCCTGAGCACCATAGCATCTTGGCATTTTTTTAACAGATCAACCCCTGCTTTTCCTTCAGCATGTAGCAGGGAACTAGGTTACAGACCCTATATTGGCTGCTTAGCATGGGCAGCAGGTATAAGAGGCAGAGGAAGGCAATGCTTTCCCAAACTGCTAGGCATGACCCTACCCACACACAACCCTCAGAACACCCTCTGCTTCAGCATGGCTCCCAGGCTTCAGACATGCTGAGGTTGGGGACGCTGGAGCAGCGCACCTTCCCTGTGCTCTGGAGCCAGGGAGGCTGGGTCTGCACGCTGCCCTCCCTCCCCATACTCCAGGGCTGGGAAGGCTCCTGCAGGACGGGGGCTGGAGGCTTGCCCCTGCAGTGGGGGAGAGCTTGGCTCCTGTGGAGGGGGAGGCCTTGGCCAGAAGGGGCGGGGTTAGGGACTTGCCTCCCCCAGCCCTTCATTCACCCACTGCCCATGCTGCTTAATGCTGCTTTGTCGAGTCACCTTAAGCTTATATGCTCAGGATCTTGCTTAAAGACACAGAATAAATATTTTTTATTCATTTTGGTGGATGGATCTCAATAGCTCTTTGTGGATCCTCAATCACATTTGCCTTTCTCTTTTCATGGGATTCAGAGTTTTCTGCAGGTCTTGTATTGCAGTAACCCCCGTCTTGTGCACAACTCTGGGAGGAGAGATGAAGCTGGGTGAAGTCTCAGTCATTTCCCCATTTGTATATTGGCAGGGTAATGGGCAGCTTGGAGAGATTTCTCTTTTCCCTTACAATTCCTAAGGGGCCTTGTCAGTTCAATGAGCCTGTCCTCTCTCAGGGTATGTCTATACTACCCTGCTAGTTCGAACTAGCGGGGTAATGTATGCATACCGAACGTGCAAATGAAGTCCGGGATTTGAATTTCCCGGGCTTTATTTGCATAAGCCGGCCAGCGCCATTTTTAAATGCTGGCTTGTTCGAACCCCGTGCCGCGCGGCTACACATGGCACGGGCTAGATAGTTCGAACTAACTAGCCATTCCGAACTATCTGTACGCCTCATGGCCCACGAGGCGTACAGATAGTTCGGAATAGCTTGCTAGTTCGAACTATCTAGCCCGTGCCGCGTGTAGCCGCGCGGCACGGGGTTCGAACAAGCCGGCATTTAAAAATGGCGCCGGCCGGCTTATGCAAATAAAGCCCGGGAAATTCAAATCCCGGGCTTCATTTGCACGTTCGGTATGCATACATTACCCCGCTAGTTCGAACTAGCGGGGTAGTGTAGACATACCCTCAGCTATCAGAGTAGCAAACTTGCTATGCCCAGCAACTCTCTACATGAGGAATTTGTAGACTCTGTAGTATGGAGAAAGCGGCCCGGCTCAAGGGCATACAGCGTTTATAAGCTCTGTCAGAGCCATACCTAGTGGCCAGGAGCATGCAGAGTTCACATTCTTTTCATTCTATGTGGTTAAGCGGGGCTCCTCTTCACCAGGCTGGGGAACAGGCAATCCAGTCAGGTCTTGCTGCAGCTCTTCTGTAGCAGCTCTCTTCTACTTGGGTATGTGATTCTGTGATTAACTGATTAGCAGTCCGCTAAGAACTCTCAGTACCTATATCTTATTTTCTCCCCAACCTTCACTCCTTCTCTCCAAGGTGACACATTGTGCTGTGTATACTGCTCCATAGTGTATTGTGCACACTGTGCTCTCTTTGTCTTGTCCTACTTCCTTACAAATATAAAATGTGCTAGAATTCTGAGGCAAAGGCTGTTTAAAACTATTCCCTACCAAGTAAAATCTGTGCTAATTTCTGTTGTTTCCCTGTATTTTTTCTTCTAGGATAGCCCCAATGAAAAGTAACATCTCCCTTTCTTGATGACATGGGGCAAGGCAGGCAATTCCATGTTACCAAGCCTACAATAATTTTGTTCCAGCAAATTCAAAGTATCATAATATAGATTGTATATTATATTTTGTCCAATAAAATTATAAAGCCATTTGTATTGGCACCTGATCCACTCCAACAATAGAATACTTCACCTAGAAGGTGTTGAAAGTGTGAAGATTTGATTGCCAAACTTCTCAATTTTCAGGCATTGGCAGGTACATATCAGCCACTCAGGTTTATTGGGTTTTTTTTTACCTCACATTAACATATCAGGCAAATGATCTTGTACCAAGTCCTTATTTACAAAGAACAATTGTAGCCGTCTAGTTAATAAGTGGTACATTTCTCTTAGTGTGGATGCAATTATAGCAATATAAAGTGTTTATCCCAATAAAGCTTTTTCCCATATGGAAAAGACTGGGTGTGGGGAATAAGCAATAGCAATATAATACACCTTTACACTGGTATAACTGTGTCCACACTAAGGATGTTAGGAAGTGAGTAATTAGCAAATCATGTAGTCCATAGAATTTCTGTTGACTACATGATTAATCAATAAGGGAGGAAGCCTCAGTCCTGGCTCGCGTCAGGTCCAGGAGCTACCCCCTGCTGTGGCTCTGCAGTTTAAATGTAGTAAGAGCTGGGCAGGCAGGTAGTGTGGCTCCTACTACATTTAAACTGCAGAGCCGCAGTGGGGACAGGTCTCAGTCTCGGCTCGCACTGAGTCCAGCAGCCCCTGTCCATAAAGAGCTGGGACCCCCCACAGACAGGGGCTACTGCTGGAGCAGCCTCTGTTCAAGGCCAGCCCAGGTCTTCATGTACAGGGACTGCTTCACGGGATGTGGAACAGCCCCTGCCCGTGGTGAGCCTGGGCCTGCCACGGGCAGAGGCTGCTTCGTAGCAGCCTTCCCTGCCTCCCACCCACACTGCTGCCTCGGATCTGTATCAGAAGCAGCAGCATGGTGGGAGTGGGAGGCAGCATCATAGAGACAGTGCTGGAGGGAACCGGATTTTAAGCTAGCTCCCCCTAGCACCTTCCTGCCTCTGATACAGTGGGGAGGGTGAAATGCGAGTAGTCAAGTAGTCTCGACTACTCTTTTAGTATTGAGATAACTATGTCAGTTGTGTATGTGATTTTTTTTTTACAGAAATAGCAATGCCATTATAACCTATAGTGCAGACTAGGTTCCCTAGTCTGTTCCCTATAGCTATTTCTATAAAAAAATAATCACACCCATAACTGACATAGTTATCTCAATACTATGTGATCTAGCTTCAGCTCTCAGGCTCACCAACATGTCACTCTTCACACATATATACAACAGTGACAGCATCAGCTGTATCTTCCTTCTCACCTGAGAGGAACTGGAGGAATGCTAAACTGGGAGAAAAGAGAAGCTAGTGAGATCTTAGGGTAGAGAAGAGAGGAACTGGACACAGACTAGGGCAGGAGTAGGTAATAAAAACTGTAGCTGTTTGCCAGGCTTGGTGGGCTGCCACCATTATATTTACCTCTGCCTCCATAGATCTGAGTGATTGCAGCTCCAAATGGCCATGAATTACTGTTCCTGGCCAACTGGAGCTGCGGCAAGCAGCGTGGACCAGGACAGGGAGAATTCATCAAAAAGAGTGGGGAGAGAGTAAGGAGAGAGGAGGAGAGCATCCAGAGACCATGCACTATAGGGAAGATACAAGAAGGAACAGAGAGACAAGGAAGGCCAAAGTAGGAAAGAGCAGAAGAGGAGGAAGAAGAGGACAGAAGCAACCTAGGGAGAATAAGCAAGGTAGAAAACAAAAGGCAGCAAAAAGGAGAGAGGCAAAGAAAGAAAGGGAGGGAAATGCTGCTTTTCAGGAGAAGTAAAGATTCAAATAAGAGAAACAGAAATGAGGGCAAAGCAATAAAATGGAGAAAAGGAGGTGGAAGAGGGAGAATCAAGAAGAGATGCCTACAATGTTGAGATTAGTGTAATTTCCTGTATTTATTTCTGCTGCTACATGTAATTGTTTTTCCTTGACATTTGTTCTGTGAGCTGAACTTTCAAAAGCAACTAGTTGTTTTGGGTGCCTAATTTGAGACACCTTAGAGGGGTCTGGTTTTCACAAAATGTTGCTTACTGCTCTGTCAAAATCTGGGTCCTCTTTGGTATCTCCAGTTAGCCGTTCCAAATCACTGGTCACATCTAAAAATGTAGATCTGTCCATCTAAAGTGTTGGGGAAAGTGATGAGCTCACTGTTCTGTTCAATTGTTACTTAATGTTGTATTTCTTAGTCACCTGATACTACTGTAACATCCATGTCTGAGCTAAAAGGAAACCTGCATGTATCTTTCCCAGCACATCAGCTGGGAACTCCATTATACAAGGCATGCTTACTATGTGTGAACAGTGAAATGTATTTGAGGATAAAATATAGTTAGTGCTGGTATTTTTGGACCTTTTTCTGGTAACTTTACTGTTAAATGACATCAACCCCCCCCCAGCAAGATTATTGACAGTTGCTTTAACCTCCTTTGTCTGAGCTTATTTATTGATGGCAACGGCTGTAGGCCCAATATTAAAAGATTGTGAGTCAATGTCTGTCTTCATTTAATAAAGTTGAATGTACTCATCCCATATGAGTCTAATATTTACACAGCAAAGTTATTCTGTGTTAAAGAGAATAGAAATGGACACCAGGAAACACAGAAATAATAAACCAATTAACTGCAGTAAGCAAGTATTATTTTCATTTTACGGGGTGGAGGGGAGAACTGAGGCATGTAGGCATAAGTGATTTGCCTGAGATTGATGGAGCTCAGTACTTCCTGGCTTCTCATGCTCTGTGTAGACTGCTAATCCACACCTTTCATGAGGCCTGACCTTGAGAGGTGCTGGGCACATGGAGATGCCATGCTCTTGCTTAGTATACACCCTTAACATCATCAGATAACACAGTAATGAACCAAACATGAGAATCTGCCTCTTTTCTAAGAGCAGGGTTGTTACTGTCTTCATTTTTGCACTGACCAATGCTAAATTCCATATGAAAGATCTTCCTTTTTATGATAACAGCCAAATTACTTAATGCACATCCACATCGTCTTGCTCTTTTCCATAATAGCCTGGCCAATCCTTAATGCAGCCAAAATACTTCTGATGAAATCATTTTACATGGTTGTTACTTTGCTCTTTCTGCAACTCCTGTCTTTGGTCTGAAGCAGATGGAATGAAAGTCAATAAGGACAAATGCAAAGTACTCCACTTAGCAAGGAAAAATCAGTTCCACACATACAAATTGGGAAATAAATGTCTAGGAAGGAGTACTGCAGAAAAGGATCAGGGGTCATAGTGGATCACAAGCTAAAATGAGTAAAGTGTATAACACTGTAAAAAAAAAAAAAGCAAATATCATTCTGGGATATATTAGCAGAAGTGTTGTAAGTAAGATGAGAAGTAATTCTTCCACTACTCCACAGTGATTAGGCGTCAGTTCATAAGCCTAGAAAGTAAGGCTGCGGGATTTTGGGTGTCCCAGCCTCAAATCCCTACTGTCTGGGGTCCCAGCCACCGGGCTTGTTGCTGCCTGGGGAATCCACTCCTGGCCTTAGGTCCTGCTTGGCCACTGACCCCACACCTTGGTGTCCTGGCCAGTTGATAGCCCCGTGCCTGGGGGCTTCACTGCCTGGCCCTAAATGTACGGGGAGATTTTGGCAAATCCAGTAATGTGCCTGAACCACTATTGCTTACTGCTTGAACGTTAGCAACCAAGCTAACAGGTCCAAAATAGGCCTAGACAGCATAACCAAGTCAGGGATGGGTAAGAGGAGGAGTTTGGGTGCCACAAAGAGGGCAGCTTGACCCCACATCCTTCCTGAGGCCCAAATCTCTAGTGAAATTGCTGAGCTATACATTTAGTTTAAATGCCTTAAGACATATATCTGTCAGGGCGCCCGAGCATGGAGTCTCTGAAAAAGAAAAAAACACATCTGGTGAAAGTGATGATCAGAAGAAAACCTCTTGCCTAACCTTTAAAAAGTGCTTGCCTAACAAGTTTTTGAGTGACATGTTATTGTAATACTAATGGATAAATAGGGAAGAAAAGTTTGAGTTAGGGGGGACAATTTTGGGAACACTTGAAGGGACGCCTCGAGGACTCCCCTTGAGGACTCTTCACATCTGGACGCATCTTCGTCCCCACCAGGAGATGGAAAACTGGCCATCGGAAGCCTGCTCGGTGTCACTCGAGAGCCACACTCAACTTCGGTAATTATCGAGGGTGGGGGTGTTTTACTAACCTGTTGCGGATGTATGTAAGTGCTTGAGACTAAGTAAAGTTTAGCTTTAAGTGAAAGCACTCTTGTGTTGTCCTGTTTGTACCATCCATCTGTCGGTCGGACAACCGTGTCTCCCCTAAATTATTTCCTGACACCACCTCGCAGAGAGTAAAAGTTACCAAGAGGTTTGGGTTGAAAGAACCCCAGGTAACATACATGTGGGGTCTCACCAGGCCCAGGATCCTTATTACCAGCCCCACATGCGGGGTACCATCTACTGGCCCCAGCTCTAAAAGTTGGTGAGAGGCACAGACGGGAAAGTTGGGGGTGCAGCTCAGCACCCCTATGCCAAAAGCTATTCCTATGCCACTTCCTCATCTGGAATATTGTGTCCAGATCTGGGCACCACATTTCAGGACAGATATAGACAAACTGGAGACAGTCCAGAGAAGATCAACAAAATATTTAAAGGTCTAGAAAACATCTGTGAGGGAAGATTGAAAAACATTGTTGTGTTGAGTCTGGAGAAGAGAAGACTGAGAAGAAACATGATAATGGTTTTCAAGTACATAAAAAGTTCTTACAAGGAGGAGGGAGAAAAATTGTTCTCCTTAACCTCTGGTAATAGGACAAGAAGCCATGGTCTTAAATTGTAGCAACAGTGGTTTAGATTGGACATTAGGGAAAACTTCCTAACAGTCAGTGCAGTTAAGCACTGGAATAAATTCCAAAGGGAGGTTGTGGAATCTCAGTTATTGGAGATTTTTAAGAGCAGGTTAGACAAACACCTGTCAGAAATGGTCTGGATAATACTTAGTCCTGCCATGAATGCAGGGAACTGGAGTAGATGACCTCTTGAGGTCCCTTCCAGTCCTATAATTCTATGTATGGTGGTCACTGCTATGGCACAGATGAGAAAGAGATCAAGCTAGAGCATGGTTATTTACTTAAGGTAACATTTTCAATAGCACTTGAGGATGTAGGTACACTGCAATGTAATCCAAGACTCAAATTCAGGCTCAAACCAAATTGTTTCCAAACAAATTATTTCCAGCACACTTCCATCATATTCATTCACCCACCCCGCAATCAACTCCAGTGCCAATTCTGTCCATACATCTATACAAGTGACATTGTTGTACTTAAAAGAAGTACTCGGGATCTTTCTCAGGGGGATAAGGCAACACGCCACATTTATTGATCACACATAGAATAATTAACAGTTATCATATGCATATGATATATATATATATATATATAACAAGTGACATTGTTGTACTTAAAAGAAGTACTCGGGATCTTTCTCAGGGGGATAAGGCAACACGCCACATTTATTGATCACACATAGAATAATTAACAGTTATCATATGCATATGATATATATATATATATATATA